GCGAGTTTGGACAGGGAAAGATATCTCATTTGGATATTTGCGAGTTTTTGGTTGTCGTGCCTTTGTTCATATTCCCAAAGCCGAAAGGTCAAAACTTGATGGCAAATCCAAGCAGTGTATATTCTTGGGGTATGGCAATGATGATTTTGGGTACAGACTTTGGGATCCTGTAGAGAAGAAAGTTTTCAGAAGCAGAGATGTGATCTTTTTTGAAGACCAGACCATTGATGATATGGGAAAGGGCGAGATGCCAAAATCTTCACCTGAGATTCCTATTGATCTAGATCTAGTTCCTCCACAATCAGATGATTCTCCTGAAGGGGGAGCTGAGACAGAGCAGAATGGTGAGTTTGATGATGATCCTACTTCTAAAACAGAGACACCACTGGTTTCATCACCTCCTGTTCAACATAGGAGGTCCACTAGAGACAAGAGACCTTCCACTAGGTACAATGCTCATGAGTATTTGTTGCTTACTGACGGGAGAGAGCCAGAGTCGTATGAAGAGGTTCTTGGTCATGAGCAGAAAGAACAGTGGTTAGCTGCCATGCAAGATGAGATCAAATCCTTGCATGAGAATAACACGTATGACCTGGTGAAGCTGCCTAAGGGCAAGAGAGCACTCAAGAATAAATGGGTGTTCAGGCTGAAAACAAGTGAGAACAGCTCACAATCGAGGTACAAAGCTAGATTGGTTGTGAAGGGATTCAATCAGAGAAAGGGCGTAGACTTTGATGAGATATTCTCTCCTGTTGTAAAGATGTCTTCGATCCGAGTTGTGCTTGGGATAGCAGCCAGCTTGCATCTTGAGATTGAACAGCTTGATATGAAGACAACCTTCTTACATGGTGATTTGGAAGAAGAGATTTACATGGAGCAACCAGATGGGTTCCAGGAGCAGGGGAAAGAAAAGCTTGTATGTCGTCTCAACAAAAGCTTGTATGGGTTGAAGCAAGCTCCGAGGCACTGGTACAAGAAGTTTGATGCTTTCATGATAGGGCAGGGATACCAAAGGACTACAGCCGATCACTGTGTGTTTGTGAAGAAATTCTCTGATGGTGATTTTATAATTCTTTTGCTTTATGTCGATGACATGTTGATTGTTGGTCATGATACTGCAAAGATTGCTAGGTTGAAAAAAGAGTTAAATAAATCCTTTGCGATGAAGGATTTGGGTCCGGCTAGACTGATCCTTGGGATGATGATTTCTCGTTCTTGATAGGTTTAACATGAACGGTGCTAAGGAACTCTCGACTCCACTTGCGGGGCATTTTAAGCTAAGCAAAACGCAGTGTCCTAAAAGTGAGAAAGATAAGGAAGAGATGAAAAAGGTTCCTCATGTTTCGGCAGTTGGTAGCCTGATGTATGCGATTGTTTGCACAAGGCCAGACATAGCTCATGCAGTTGGTGTTATTAGTCGGTTTCTCTCAAATCCTGGTAAGGAGCATTGAAATGCTGTGAAATGGATTCTCAGGTATCTTAGGAGTACTTCCAGATTGAGTCTTTGCTTTGGTAATGGGAAGACCATGTTAGATGGATATACAGATGCTGACATGGCGGGTGACCTTGATGGTCGGAAGTCTACTTCTGGATACTTGATGACTTATGGAGGGGGAACAGTTTCATGGCAGAGTAGGTTGTAAAAGTGTGTTGCTTTGTCTACTTCAGAGCTAGAGTTTATCGCAGCTACTGAATCTTGTAAGGAAGCACTTTGGTTGCAGAAGTTTCTACAAGAGCTTAGCATGAAGCAAGAGAGGTATGTGGTATACTGTGATAGCCAGAGCGCTATTCACTTGGCAAAAAATTCCACATTCCATTCGCGGTCTAAACATATTGATGTGAATTATCATTGGATTCGAGATGTGTTGAAGTCCAGACATTGTTTCTTGAGAAGATCCAAACGGATGACAACGAGACCGATATGTTGACGAAGACTGTGAGTAGAGATAAGCTCCTATTTTGCAGACAGAAGCATGTTTGGTTTTACCCCCCAATTGAGGTGAAGGGGGAGATTGTTGGGCCCGGTGTTCCCCTCAATTGGGCCAACAAGGAAACAAATAAAACCAAGCCAAATTTGGCTTTGGTTTTGGGTTTGACCGAGGGAAACAAAACCCACTCCAATTGGTTTTTGTTTTTTAGTTTTTTGCTCTATAAAAGCAAGGTTTTGGTATAATTTTTAGGTGTGTTTTCCAGCCAAGAAGAGAAGAAAAGTTTGGGCAGCCGTGCATTGTTTTTGTACGAGAGAAAAAGAAAGAAAACTAGGGTTTAGTTTTCGGTTTAACTCTCTTTTGGTGAGATCCTTCCAATCCTACTTTGTGGTTTAGGTGTGTGTGGAAGAGTATTGTTGTAATCCACCTTTGGGTGAAGTCCTGTGTATCTACCGGTTGGTGAAGATTATTTTCCCATTATTGTGATAGTGGAAATTTGACTGTTGTTACAGTCTCGTGATTTATCCCGATTTAGATTTTCACGTAAATTCGCGTGCCTCCTTTATTTTATCGGTTCTTGAATCATTTGCTTGTTTGGTTGGTTGTCCTATTTTATCGGTAGTAGGAAATGAGTTTTTCTTGGGAATCGTTTTCCGCTGGTTTGCTGTGTTTATACCCTTTCCGCCACAACAGTAAGTAGTTTATGTTTTGTTTTGTTTTTTTTTTTTTTGTGGTTGATGCAGAAAGTAATTAGGTGGTGAAGAAACTTTAACTCCAGTTTTAGTACTGTGACACGTCTCTACTTTGAACACTACTTTATTTCATGTGTGAAACAAAACAGCATAGATTATCTTTGTTTGAGCAGTTTCTCATTTTATTTTCTTTGGTCTCCAGCAGTCTGCCAACAAGATATCGGAACTGTTTGTAAATCATAGCTCTGGAATATTTCTCTACGAAGTTATTGAAAACATTTCTGAATGATTCATCCAGAATATATTATATCCCTATACCGAGGATACTGTAGCTTCCTTCAACTCTAGTTTCATTCTTCTTCAACTCTAATTAATATCACTGGTCGAAAGTTCAAATCTTGCATGATCACTTTTTTTCTTTTTTTTTTTTTTTGAAAATAACTAAGAAAGAGAGAGCAGCATTAAAAGGATGCAATCAATAGTCTCTGGGCATAACAAAATTGAATGGGAATAGCTCAAAAGGAATTTCTTGATTCAACACTGTATAATAATTGTCACTTTGTAGCAAAAAGAAGAAAAAAAAAGGAAAAAGGAAAAGCTTAATTAACGCATTTAGGACCCGTAGCAAATGTGAACATAATACTAAATTAATTCCAAACTGTCATGAGTTTCATATATAAAGACTTCCATATGTAATCGTGTCTTTTTCAATTGGAAAGATAAACTTTTTCGTATCAGAGCTGAGGGGGCAATCTATTGGAACAAAATTGATTACAAGTGCACGCTTTTGAGTTTTTCTTTTTTCTTCTTTTTTCTTTTGTTTTTCCCCTTCCAAATTTTATTACTAAAAAGTAAAAAGTTTACTTTACAAATATACGAATTCGATTAAAGAAACCTAAAAAGCTGATTTTAAAGTTTGGCCAAAACGCTACCCGATAAATATATAATTCCAAAAACGCTCTCTATGCGATTGTGATTCCTAACCACCTTCTGAGCTAGTTTTCAGATTTACTAAAGCATACTACTATGCATGGATGCAATATCACATGTTTTTCTGGTACTGATGTAAATTAATTAACCTTCTTAACAAAATAAACGTATACTTCCTCCATTTCAATTTGTAGATCGTTTTAGATTTGGAGAGATTTTTCAAAACATAGATCGTTTTATAAATTCTAGGCAAATTAATGACTATTTTTCTAATTTTATCCTCAATAAATTATGCTAATCTATTTTCATTTAATCTTGTTTATAATTCCAATAGAATTAATGAGGGGTAAAAGAGATATTTAACACATAAATTAATTGTTGGATGATTGTCTCATTAGTTTACCGCCAAGTCTAAAAGACTTATATTTTGAAACAGAGGAAGTATAAGTAAAAGAAATTTTAAATCCTTAATCTACGTTGCAGCTAACCTAATTAAATGCTGTCGCACTGTAATATCTCGCACTCCAATGAATATATACATGCCCAACTAGATGTTTATCAATGGCATAAACTAACAAAATTAATACCCTGATCATTTTCTTTTCTTTTTTAATATCAGATTTCTAAAACATTTAATATGAAAATTTTATCATCCAACTAAGATCGCATTCCCACATGTCCTTCGCTCCGGTGTTCCCATACTACGTGCTAGTTTCTCCAAATTTTGTTTTACTCCCTCCATTTTGAAATATATTTCGTTTTAGAGATCGGTGAATTTTTTTTAAATATAAGGCGTTTTCACAAATCGATGCATATTTGATCACTTTTTACCGAAATTAACTTTGCATTGGAATTGAAACAATATTTGTAATTAATTTCTATTGGTTTTTGATGAGTTGTATAGAAAATTAATAAGATTATTTATATATTTAAACTATATTAATTAATGTATTCTTGGTTTTGATAAATTCTCTATAAAGACAAATAAGAAAAATGAAGGGAGTATTAAATTGGCTATTGATAAGAGAGAACGTCAACAAACACGCATTACTTTAATTTTCCAGTACAAAATTACCTCGGAGATTGCTCCACACTAACTAATTCAGATAAATTAGTGATAACCCACATGGGCACGCAAATATTTTAAGTATTCATTAATTGACTCGGGACTCGGGAGTGTTTACCTTCTTCCTAGTAGGCACAACTTGTTAGAAAATATATGACAATTACGTCAATCTCCCTAAAAGTTTTTAAAAACTATCAATTACGTCTTCAGATTTGTAAAATTTGATAACCGTCTTCCCGACCCAATCAATTACATGAAATTAATTGCTCGAAAGAAATTCATAAATAAAAAAGACGATAAACAAGTCACAATGCTTAACATTTGGGAGAATCTATTAGGATCATATATATAACGCGGTTCGAGAAATGCAAATTCACTAACTTCATTTTGTTAACCTCTTTTGTTCGATGGTTGAATAGTACTTGTTCAAACTTTAAGACAAATATCAGCGATTTATCCAAATATTTGGGGTATGTAAGTAGTTTTCAAAAACCTCAAGGAAGGTCGTTGAAATAAACTCAACTATATTTTGATTCATTTTCATTTGCAACTCCTTCGTAATTCACCTTAATTTCTTCAAACTTCAGAGTTGTAGGAGGATCGATGAAGATACTCTAGCTTCCTTCAACTCTTGTTTCATTCTTCTTCCATAAAAATCTTAGAGAAAGAAAAATAAAAGAATGTCGGTCCCAGATGCAGCTGTGAATTTTCTTCTCAACAATCTTACACAAATAGTAGTTCACAACTATGGTTTGATTCGTGACATAAAGCCAAACATCGATGCATTGCACAAAGAGCTGGAATCGCTTAGTGCGGTAATGAGCGATTTCGAGAAGTACAATCACGACATCAACTACGTGAAACACACGGTGAGGGAGATCCGAAGAGTGATCGGCCAAGCGGAGGACGCGGTTGAAACTTACTTGCTTCAGGCAGCGGTGAAGAACTCGAGGGGTTGGGTCCAGAATTTTTTCGGACAGTTCACGGATCCGATGATGCTTTGGGATGTCGGGAATCAGATCAACACGATCTCGGCCGAGATCAAGAAGATTAATGAGGAAAATGTCAAGAACAGTTTCGCGGCACTTCAATATGAGGCCACGAACCACCTTAATCTACCGGCCAAGTCAAAAGAGGTAAACAGTTAAACCGATGAGTTCTTTTCTTCTTCTTTTTGGTGTTTCAAATTTTATTGTTCCTAATTTCCAAATTAAAATGTTTTTATTTGTTGAACTAAAATAATGCAAGTTAACATTCTTCGATCGTTCTTTATTTCGACTGCAAGTTCAATATGATCTGTGGTTGTGATCTTAAATTTAAGGTCAATATGTTTAACTGGATACTTGGTTTGTTGGATCTAGACCAGGTACTAATTACTTTTTCTCAAAAAAATTTTCATTTGTTTCTTTTTAGTGTGCCATCGGTTTGACCAAATAAAAACGTTCTCGATTTCATGTAATCGACAGCCTAGGAGAAGGAAACTCTTGGAAAATTTTTATTTTCGAAGTTTGAGCTCAAATTTGAAGGCATTTTTGCTTAGAGAACTACAGAATGAGAATTAGTTATCAGATTCAATTGCTTGTATGCATTTTTAAGTATTCTGAGTAATTATGACTTTTATTATATTAATTTTTTTTCCGATTTTTTGTTGGAAAATCTGTTATTTCATTAGATGGAAATTCTTGAAAAATTGATCGTTTGTTAATAATGTTCATATGGTTTCTTCTTCTTCTTCTTCTTCTTCTTCTTCTTCTTCTTCTTCTTCTTCTTCTTCTTCTTTTTTTTTTTTTTTTTTACAATAATTGCATAAAAAAGGCTCCAAAAGTCGAAGAAGACCATGTTATTGGCTTTGACGATGCAGCGGATGAAGTAGAAAGACTCCTCACTGGATCACCAGAAAAGCTAGAAATAGTCTCTATAGTAGGAATGCTAGGTTTGGGGAAAACCACACTAGCTAGAAAGGTTTTTAAGGATCCAGATGTTGATTATGAGTTCATGATCCGGGCATTTGTCTATGTTTCCAAAGAATTTGATAGAAAGGATATATTTCTCGAAATATTGAAGTCTTTCACCCAAGTTAGCGAAGAGGTAAAAAATATGACTGGCGACGAACTAGAAAAATATGTTTATAAGCAATTAGAGGGGAAGCAATACCTAGTCGTTTTGGATGATGTTTGGGAGAAAGAAGACTGGGATGAATTCAAACGCGCTTTTCCAGATAACAAGAAGCGTTGTAGAGTTTTAATAACCACCCGTAATGATCAAGTGGCAGATTATGCAAATCCCAAAGTCCCTCCTTATAGGTTAGATTTCTTATCACTACCAGCGAGTAGGGAACTGCTCGCGTGGCGGGTTTTTAATGAGAAAAGTTGCCCGAAGGAAGTTCTGGATTATGAGATTGAGATTGCAAGAAAATGTGATGGATTGCCATTAGCGGTTGTGGTTATTGCAGGTATCATTTGGAACCATAGGGAGAAAGTTAGCTGGTGGAAGGATGTGGCTGATAGTGTAAAGAATTACATTGCTAGGGACCAGAAACATGCTACAAGTGTCATAGAACTTATGTATAAACACTTGCCAAACTACCTGAAACCATGTTTTCTCTATCTTGGGGTGTTTCGAGAAGACTTTGAAATTCCCGTGTGGAAATTGATTCGACTGTGGATCGCTGAGGGTCTTATCCAACCAGAAGGGAATGAAAACTTGGAGGATTTAGCAGAGGTGTACTTGGATGAACTTGTTGACAGAAACCTTGTGATGGTAGGACAAAGGAGGTCAAATGGAAAAATTAAAACTTGTCGTATGCATGACACACTTCGTGAATTTTGCAAGAACGAAGCTGCTGAGGAAAACCTTTTTCAAGAAATCAAGAAGGGCCATCTTTCACCCGCTTTAACTGAAAGCCCTTTGGATGCTCGGCGCCTTTGCCTCAATAATGCCGATATTATTGAGTACATGTCTCAGAACCCTTCTGGTAAGTGTGTTCGATCTTTCTTAACTTTTGTCAAGGAAGAAACAACTGTGGAACCAAAACTTGTGTCTTGCCTCCCAAAAACTTTCAAGCTTCTCAGAGTGTTGGAGATTCAATCTCTGACTTTCACTCGATTTCCAGTTGACCTTGGCAATCTGATTCTCTTAAAATACATAGCCATTTCGTCTAAGTTCCCAAGTCTCCCAGCATCAATGTCTCACTTGTGGTGCTTACAAACACTCATTGTTCAAACCACAAATAGCAATCTCGACATCAAAGCAGACATATGGAAGATGTCTCAGTTTAGGCATTTGCATACAAATGCATCCACCATTTTACCACTTCCACAACCCCGGGAGAAGAAAACCAAAGAAGAGTCTTTGGCGGAAGAGAATCTCCAAACACTATCCACAATTTCTCCTGAAAGCTGTACAAAAGAAGTGTTTGATCGGGCTCCAAATCTCAAGAAATTGGGTATAAGCGGCGATTTAACAAAGCTCATCAAGGTCGATGGAGAATCCACATTATTCGAACACCTTCGTAGGCTAGAATCTCTTGAAAACTTGAAGTTACTGAATGAGGATGTATCTTTCAAGCTGTCTTGTCTTCCTTCAGATAAAAGCTTCCCCAAGCATTTAAAGAAGCTGACACTGATGAATACCTTATTGGCTTGGAAAGAGATGTCTACATTAGGGAAGTTGGAGTATCTTGAGGTTCTCAAGTTAAAAGAATATGCATTTGAAGGGAAGTGTTGGGACACCGAGAAGGGCGGTTTTTGCCGCCTGAAACACTTGTACATTGGACGCATGGATTTGGTGGTTTGGGAAGAGGCTTCGGTTGATCATTTTCCGGTACTCAATAGTCTTGAGCTCAATGGATGTGATAAGCTAAGTACATTTCCACATCGTTTGGCGGATATCCCTAGTTTCCAATTAGTTGTCCTCCATTGCACCAACACTGCCGTGGCTTCTTTAGCCAGGAAACTTCAGGTGGTCAAGCTAAACCAAGGGAAGAAAGCTGGTAACAAGAAGAACAATTTTAAGCTCTCCATTTATCCTCCAGAGCATTGATCGGTAGATTGCCAAATTACCTTCAACAAATTATACTACTTCTATCTCAAGGTATATAGTAAAAGTAACCATTGGTTATTGAAGTTCTCCCTTAATTTCATGCTTATTGATTATTCTAAAAGAAAATGGTACATAAAGTTTCATTCTTTCCAGCTCTAACTCGGTGTTCTTCTCTGTTTGTTCATTCTCAGATCTTTTATTTGATCTTTTTGGCCATGAAGATAGATTGATCAGAAGCATCCAGATGATCAGGTTTGTACTGTTTCCATGAAGCCAATCCGAGTAGGCCAGCTGAAGCAGATGAGAATTGCATTTCATTTGGTTGAGTTTTTCAGCTTTGTGACTGTTCAATTTCGAGTTGACTATTATATCCCATTCCTTAAACTCAAAGCCTGTTTTATTTATGTGTTTCTATGAACTGGTAGTCTATTTGAAGAAGAATTTTTTTTTTTTTTTTTTATTGCAATAGAAATAGAAAGAGGCTAAAAGCCTAAAGTCATACAAGCACATTTAAGGGGTTTGTCACCCTGATTACATCATGCTTTAATCATAATTTGACACCTAATGGTGGAGCAACTAGCCATTGCAGTCCGTCTGGCCCTTGTGCTGCCAATGAAGCCAAGAAATCGGCTACAAAATTTACCTCCCGAAAGACATGTTTAAGTTCAATCGTCCAAACTCGCATTAGTAATTCACGGATTCCATACACGAGACTTGCATTAACACCGAGAATCACACTGTTACCTTGCACCAAGTGTAAAACACTCGTGCTATCGACTTTCGCTCTCACCTTACGCCCACCAAGCTTCCATGCAATGGTCAAGGCCTGAAAAAGACCTCACAATTCAGCACCCGTAATAGTAGTGAAGCCAGTGTTCATCGTGTGACCACCCAACCATCGCCCTAGCTACATGATATGCTTATATTTTACCTATTTATTATATCTATAATTTGTGATTTTTGCAATATATTTTGAGTACAAATATGCTATTTATATGATTTTATCTTTATTTGTAGGTTTTGTACTCAAATGGAGAAATTATTGGAGTTTTGGACTAAAATCAAGATAAAGATCAATTTATAGAAGCAAGATTTAAGATTTGATAATTGATGAAAGAGAAAATCCAGCCAAAAACTTGAATTCCAGCATGGAAGACGCACAGGGATTGAATTACAAAAGTTGAAGAAGTTTTGGGGCTGAATTGTAATTTTGTACAAGTTTAGGGACTAAAGTACAAATTCACGGACTATTTTGGGCAGTAGCTTACGTGAATGAACCAGAGCTGCAGTTTTCTGGGTTTAGAGTTGAGTGATGCGCACGATTTGAAGGATATATAAACACTTGATATACATTAATTTTTGGGAACCTCTCCACAGACCACCGAACCCCATCAGCCCCCCACCTCCACGCAGCCACCATCTATCACTTTAATCATCATCATCATAGCAGCCTCAAACATCATCATTATAATCATCAAGGGAGCAGCTTGGACGTGAAGAAGAAAGCAGCAGCCATGGTCTTCCAACTTCCAACTCGGCGGCTTCGTTTTCTCTCCGGGTTTTTGAGTTTTAATCTAATTTCAGATTTGTGTGGATTATGTCTCTAAATATTATTAAATTATTTTTGATAATTTAGTGGCTAAATTCTTTTAACTTAGGGCTTGGATGTAGCCGCCGGATTTATTTGGTTTATTTGGTTCATTATTATTTGACTTTTCCATTAATTAATATCTGTATCCTTATTTTAATCCGTGTAAGTAATTGGCAAATATTTGCATGTCTGAAGATACTAATCGAAGTAGCGAGAATGGAAGATTAGTATTAGTTCGTAAGAATAATAGACTTAGGGTGTAAGCTACATGAGTAAGATTATAACCTTTGCAATGTTTGATTCTTAATGGTCTTAATGTGCTTTTGTTAATCCCTATAGTCACGAGAGTAGTCATAGAGTTAATCTAAGTAAGAGAACTATAGCGCGAGAGTGTGTAGTTCTTAATTAGGTGAATCGTTCTGAGATTAATGGAAGTTAAAAGTCAGATATTTATGAGTCGAATCAAACTAAATATTCAGTAGGTGAACCCAATGTCCTAGGTTTTCCCAACTTGATTGTTTCAACCTTTGAAAGTTATTGCATATTTTAGATTTTAGCTTTAGTTTTATTTTAATTGAAAATCTGAGATCATCATTTATCTAGATAATAATAGGAGTAATTTATACCTGGTAATTAGTATTCTTTCTCTGTGGGTACGACCCTATTTTTCGCTATACTAGTGTTAAGTAGGTGAATTTATTAGACTAGTTGTGACGACGGCTTGTCACTACACCACCGACACTCGCCATCCGTCTCCGGGTTGAAACTACCGTCGAAATTAATTTTATCCATTCTGAAGGGGGAGGATGCCACTGAATTAACTTCGTTTCCCCATTTGCTTCTCATGCACAGTAGACTGATGCACCTTGTCGACAAACGTCTCAATGTCACGAACTCTAGCCATAGCTCCTCCATCAGACCCTTTAAACAGACGTCCATAACGCCAGGACCACAATCTCCAAACGGTCACACCGAAATAACAACTCCAATCATCCCTCAACCCAGCTCCCCTCCACTTCACATTTTTCAGAACCCAATCAAGCAGCTGCAGGGAGAAAAACCAGCTTCTCATATGATGCCGTACAAGCCTATACCAAATCTGAGCTGCGGCTGGGCAATCCCTCAACGCATGAAGGATGGTTTCCTGCGCAGCACCACAAAAATCACAGCCGGGTGAGTCCGTCATATGCCGTCGGCATCGCTCCATATTCATCAGCAACCTCCCTTTTGCTACAAGCCAAAGAAATTGCCTTATCCGTTGAGGGCCAACCCACCGCCAGATAGACTTCCGAAGAGGTCGGTCATTTTCTTCTATCGACGGTGCAATTGCAGCGTAAGCCGACTTTGACAGACCTCAATCTAGTACACGTCAACACGCCAGCAGCCAAGGCCTGATGACAATGAAACCCTAGCAAAATTCTGAGATAAGCAGAAGGGAAAGAGGAATGATCGGCGGCCGAGGAAAGAAAGGACTCCCACGAGACCGCCTAGTCCTGGGGATGAAAGGGAAGAAGATCCAAAAAATCATCGCAAGGGCCCCAATCCACATGATGAGGAAAGATTGGCCGAAATTGAAGAGGAACTGAAAAGGTTGAGAGATGATAATGGCTTTAATCAGAGGAAGAAAAAGTACATATTGGAGGAATACAAACGTTGTTGTTTGCTGGGTCTGCCCGATCCTTCAGATCAGGAGCTACATGACCTGCTTGACGAGAAAGAAGCGCGCATGACGCTGACTTTGCTCGAAAAGAAAAAAGACAAACACAAATTTCCGAGTGAGGGAGAGGTAGAAGGTCACAGAGAAGCCCCCAACCATGAGGCTTCCCAAGTAGAATTCTCTGCCCCCCCCCTGGGGCAACCTTCTGGGACTCATTCGGAAGAGCATATCCAACATTCTATACAGCACTTGAGCAATTCGCAAAAGAATGTCGACGCAAGAAGTAATCTCGCGACTAACACCGCCAAGGTTCACCTAGTGTCGAGTTGTTGTTCGAAAAAAACTGCAATCCCCCGTCGAGAGGCAACGTACACTCCTGTTTAGGACCCAAAGCTTCCCCAGAAAAGTCCTATCGCGATCACCATGACACATATCGTGACACAAGATACCCTCGGTACGATCGATTTCATTATGATGATTTACGACCAGAAGAACCCTTTGTCCCTCGACGATAAGAGAACCATGGCAATCAAAACACCTCCATTCGTGAATCAATGCGGAGAATGATAGGAATAATTGTCGATAAAAGCCATTTCATTCCAAGGATCCGTGACTGTCCAAAGCCTCGTGACTTCGACTTCCCCAAAGACTTCGTCAAGTACTCGGAAGATTCTGACCCACAACAATTTTTGCACGGTTATGTCTGAGTCATGAGGATCAGAAATGCATCACTCGATTTCATGGCAAAGGCCCTTCCATCTTATCTCACCAGACAAGCACAACGTTGGTTCGGAGAATTGCCAGAAGGGAGTATTGTCAGCTTCGAGGATCTATCGGTCAAATTGGCTACTCGGTTCTTCCCCAGCAAACAGATCACCAAGATATCAATCAACCTTTCCTCGATCAAGCAAGGACAAAACGAGAGTCTGTCTGATTTCCATCGTCGTTTCATCGGGCAAACTCTCCAAGTAGATTACCTTGACGACAGGGATGTACAAAACGGGTTCATCGAAGGCCACAGTTGAAAGTTACATTCAGCGGGAACAGACACTCAAGCGCTCACAGGAGTCCAGGAGATCGAGGGGGAAGAGATAGGTACAGATCTACGGCGGAAGTTAAACCGACATCCTTGCCTAAGCTTGACAAGCAGTTAACCCCGCTACTGAAGCCCCAGCAAGAAATACTTCAGATCCACAAGGACAAACTTCCTGTTGCAAAGCCCCTGGCTCATAATCCGAATAGGTCCACGTATCAATATTGCAAGTACCACAAGGACCACGGCCATGACACGGAGAATTGTAGAGAACTCAAGCGAGAAATCGAAGCTGGAGCAAAGTCTGGAAAGTTTCAGCAATATGTACAAAGTGCTCCTCGAGGAACGAGAGGAAAGTTTGTGGGACCCTGAAACTTTCCCAACTGAAATAACAATCCTTGAGGAGATAATCAAGCAAACAACTGACAATCAAGAAGCAATGCGCAACAATCCGTCCAACAGTCCCTCGACGGGGGACCTCAACCGATCCAGCAAGTTCCTCCCCCTAATCCTACTAAGCAAATCACCCACAATGTGGGAGCCATCTATGGTGCTTCACTCGAGGTTCTCTCTACCACTGCAATGAAAGCCTCGATTCAAGAAGTAACAAAAACTCCTCCTCAAGAGCCCAATCACAAGCGGTTCAAGGGAACCGAGGCTATAGTCTTCACCGACAGTGATGTAGTTCCAGGCATTTGTCCACACAGCGACGCCATGGTCATCAAGGCTATCATAGAAAACCTCCACGTAAGCCATGTTTACGTTGATAACGGAAGTGTAGTTGACATCATCTACGACGATTGCTTCAAGAAGACGAACATACAAAATCTTGATTGGCGGCCGGCCACATTACCACTCACGGGCTTCTCTGGGCACACGATAATCCCTAACGGAATCGTAAGGCTCCCAATCACGGTAGGGTCACATCCTCGAATGGTAACCCTGACAATGGACTTTGCCATAGTTGATGCACCTTCACAGTTTAACGTAATCCTAGGACGGCCATGGATGTGCCAAGCCCGTGCTTTTTGGTCCCCCTATCACCTAGTAATGAAATTCCCGACAGAATATTGGATAGGTATAGTGCAAGGGTGCTAAAGCAGTTCTCGAGAATGCCTCCTTACGGCAGTCAAAACGGGAAAGAAGGCGATGACATCAGGATCTACCACCACTACATCAGGTTGTTACTCAGTTCAGTAGGGGATTTCATCAATAGAATCTAAGGAAGAGAAATAGTCCATGGATCTCCACCTTCCTCATCAGCCACCGCTTAGCAGTAAAACAACAAAACTGGTCCTGGACGAGAAAGAACCTCAAAAGACAATCCGGTTGGGGGTATCTATAGACGGAATATTGTGAGCCAAGGTAATTGCCTTGCTACGTGAATTCTGAGATATATTTGCTCGGGCACCATCCCACATGACTGGGGTTCCTCAACAAATCATTGAACATAAGCTAAACGTGGATCCCCACGTCAAACCCGTGCAGCAAAGAAAGAGTATCTTCGCTCGAGATCGTAACAACATCATCAACGAAGAAACACTTAAGCTTGTTCGTGCCAACATCCTACGAGAAGTCCTCTGGCCCACATTGCTAGCTAATCTTGTTCTTGTCCGCAAACCAGATCTTTCTTGGCGCATGTGCCAAGAGTATACCGACCTCAACAAACATTATCCCAAGGATTGCTACCCTTTGCCATTCATTGATTAAATGCTTGAGGGCATTACTGGGTTTAGGACTCTTAGCTTCGTTGATGCATACAAGGGGTATCACCAAATTCTCATGGCTCAGGAAGATGCATAGAAAACGGCTTACATCGCTGAAATTGGAGTCTATTGCTACTTCAAGATGCCGTTCGGGTTAAAGAATGCTGGGGCAACATACCAACGCCTGGTCAACAGGGCGTTCCATGATCAAATTAGGCATAACATCGAGATCTATGTTGACGACATGGTCATCAAAAGCAATCTCGATGATAGAATAGTAGAACACATGCGAGAAATCTTCACGATTCTCCGTAAAATCAACATGAAGCTTAACCCAAAGTAGTATTCCTTTTGTGTCAGATTTGGGAAATTTCTAGGTTTCCAAGTCTCAAAGGACGGGATAAGTGTGGATCCAATCAAGGTCGAAGCAATCCTTTTTATGGAATCCCCTAAGACAGTTAAAGAAGTACAGAAACTCACTGGCTCTCTTGCGGCGTTGAATAGATTTCTTTCTCGTGCGGCTGAGAGAAGTTTCCCTTTCTTCAAAACTTTAAGGAATGGGAGGTTGTTTGAGTGGAATGAGGAATGCCGCCAAGCCTTCCAAGACCTGTAGGAGCATCTCAAACAGCTACCTATCTTAGCCAAGCCAGAACCGGGGGAAACTTTACTTATTTACCTGGCTGTCCGAGAGAAAGCCGTATCCGCCGTCCTAATCCAAAACAAGGCTGGCAAGGAGATCCTCGTTTACTTCATTAGCAAAGTGTTACAAGGAGCAGAGTCACGATACACGCCCATGAAAAAACTTATTTTAAGTTTGGTTTTAGCTGCTCGACGCCTACGCCCGTACTTCTGAGCACATCCAATACGAGTATTGACAGAGCAACCTATTCAACAAGTCCTTCTCAAGTCTGAAGCCTCTAGTCGGATGATGAAGTGGGTAATAGAGTTGGGAGAGCATCATATAGAATATAAGCCACGAACGGCGGTCAAAGGCCAAACATTTGCAGACTTCCTAGTAGAGATGCCACGTTTTGATAATCTTCCTGTAGTCAAAAAGCCTAAGAATCACCCCAAAATCAAGAACATGAAAGAATATGATGCGGAATACACCTATGCATTAAGATTCGGCTTCCCGGTTACTAAGAATGTGGCTGAGTACGAAGCATTGATAGCAGGGCTAAATATGGCTCTAAAACTTGAGGTCCAAAAAATCCAAGTCTTTAGCGACCCTCAAGTGGTGGTAAATCAAATCGCAGGTGATTATACAGTAAATGACGGCAACTCAAGCAATATCTAGAGAAAGTTCTCGAGTTAAAAGATAAGTTTGAAGAATGCAATATCTCCCACATCATAAGGACAAAAAACACAAGGGCAGACGCGCTGAGCAAGTTGGCCTCCTCGAACTTTGCGCACCTCAATCACAAGGTCTGGGTCGAGATCCTCCCCGAGGCCAGCATTCAGAAAGTGCTGACAATGACCATCGCCGAGGATGGTGACACTTGGATGACCCTGTTCGTTCAGTATCTAGCAGATGGGACGTTACCCAATAATAAGTTCTTCGCTCGAGCGCTCCAGTTGAAAGCGCCCAAGTACACGTTGAGAGATGGAGTGTTATACAAACATGGATACCTGCTACCCATGCTATGATGTGTCGGACCAAGACAAACAGCATACATCCTCGAGGAGATTCATGAGGGATCATGCGGAGCATAGATGGGAGCCAAGGCACTCGCTAAGAAAGTACTTCGTTCCGGGTACTTTTGGCCCACGATTTTCAAAGATGCATATCAATTCATGCAAAAGTGCGATAG